AATATAATAGGTATTACTTTATTTATATTAGCTTTTTACGTTATAAAGATAATGATAAAATTATTTATAACAGCGTTTCTGCTGTATTTTAATAGTAAGTAAATGTGTAAAAATTATTATACCTTCTTTTGATAAAAAAAGTTATATATTATTTATTTAAAAAAATATGACTTTTTTATTGACAGAGACCTGAAGGCATTACATTGTACGGTTTCTTCCGAAAAATTTCAGAGTTCCATGGAATTACTCTTTCCTAATTAAATTAATTCTTTCGCAATTTTAACGATGATTAGGTCCCAACGGATTTACATACTGTGTAAAACGAAAAGAAAAATTCAAAAGAGACGGACGAGAGAGAAGTTAATCGATATTGCATGGGTGGGGGTAGCGTATATTGATATCATTATATCATTAATAGTCCACGGTAGACAAATCATTAATTATCATTGTTGTCGACATCTTAAAACGAACCGGATGGTCGAAAGGATTGTCGTCGGTATCACTAAGCTGGCCGGTTTTTTTATACCACCTCGGGGCTGTTGTCAGGGGCTATAGTACATATATGTGTTTGTGTGTATGTGTGTATACACGCATGTATATCCATCTCTCTTTTTCTCCCCTTTGGAGCACTCGCTATTCGTACAGCCGTAACCCCTTTCAACATGGCAGAGGGACGGTTATCGATTCTCGCAGCCTCCCTTCTCCCCGACTTCCGGATAAAAAAGTGTCGGCAGAGATATAGTCAAAGAGCGCTCGCTTTTTCTTTCTCTCTCTTTCTCATTTTCTCTCGGTGAAATAGTATTTGTATTTTTCTGTTCTCGGCGAAATGCCGAAGAACTAAAGGATTCAGTGCACAGAATAAGGGAATATTAACAAGATTGAGAGAGAGAGAGAGGGGGGGAGAGCTAAAAGCAGAATATTTAACAATAAATTATTTCTAAAGATTGTAAAACAAAGATTTAAAATTAAAACGCCGATTATAGTTTAACTTGTACTTTTTTATTTTTTAAAATTCTAATTCTAGAAAAAAAAATAATTAAAGGAATGAACTGCTGCATTGATATGATAAATTCAGATTAATTATTAGCTTGTTGTAGAATAAATTGAGAAGAAAGAATTGCGTTAATAAAAAATTGATCAATTTAAATTTATCAGTGCAAGAGAAAATGGAGAGAATCAGATAAACCAATATTAAAATTAAACAGCATTGATGAAATAGATTCCGCGTCGAAATGTCGTGAAATTCCATCACACATGGCTAGCTCTAAATAAATAAACAGTCATCTTACTTTGATTGTTTCTTAATGGCAACGAGAATTATCGCCTCGTCCTGTTCGTTCTTAAACAATTACCTTCGTAATCCAAAAATTAATTACGCTATATTTCTCGAAGAGCTTCTCAGAGCTTTACCGAATCAGAAATTCCTTGGTTCCCGAAAATTTTCTATGATTGTAGACGCAAAATACTAAATGCATATGTTTTGCAATACTTTTTGACTTCAAACAAAGAAGTCAATGCTTTATATGAAACAGCGACGATTACAATGAAGATCCCTTTTAGAGGCGGCCGTAGCTGGTAGCGAGACACCAAACGACGACACGATCGAGGTTTATCGTACGGCTAAATTACCCAACATCTCTTCGGCATCCGGCACGACGTCGTCCTCCGACAGAATGGTGGCGTCGATGCAGAACCTGGAGGATCTGGCCGTCAGTCACCCTGCCAACGCGACAGGTAGCAACGGCGATCGTCAGCAGCAACAGCAGGAGCGATACGGTCACGCTTACAGATCGTCGGCGCAGACCGCCCAGGACAAGCGATCGCGGCTGAGCAATGTCATCAACAACTTGCGCAAAAAAGTGCCCGACGGAATCGCTAAGGAAAACGCAGAATCGCCCAGGAAAGAGGAGGACGACCGCAATAGCGTCGAAAGAAATCTGGAGACGCTTGAGAAATATGTGATGACAGTGTTGAATGGTGTGATCAAGGAGGATGAGGAGAAGAGCAAGGGAAAGAGCGCGGAAAAGACGAAAGAGCCGGAAAGACGAAGAAAAGACGCTGAAGAAGAGGAGAATTCGACTGGTACGATGGTCAAGTCTGAGCCTTCGAACGAAAGTGATATCGAAGCTGCCGTGGTACCATGTTTGGAGGATTCCTCCACGGTCGAAAATGCCGAATTTTCCAAGATTACAGATTGTTCGAATACAAAGAGAGCAATAGAAGAGAGTATAGAAGTTTCGGAAGTCAAAATCAGTCAGGATTCAAAGGAATTGTCTTTGAGAATAGAGGAAGAATATTTAGACGTCGAAAAGAAAGAATCATCCGAAAGTGATCGAGACATTTCGAGAGAGAAGAAGGAAAATCGAACGCTGGGCACAATCATAATGGATAGGTTAAGTGAGCACCAAGTTGAGGAAAGAGCAAATGTCGATGACGGTAGAGGGAGAGATCGACGTGATGAACGTGTGGTCTCGGAAAACATGGAGATGCGAGCGATCTGCATAGAATTACTGGACGAGTTGTTAAATGATGTCTATCTAACGATCGACAATCAGAAGAACCAACAGAGAGTTGAAGAATGCGAAAAAATGAAAGAACTTATCGACACAACTGAGTCGAGAATAAAGGAAATCAAAGATTCGAACGCCAACGCTCAGGAATTGAAGAGTTTGCACTGCAGTCTACCCTTGGACAAGATCGCGTTCGTGTTCCAAAATTGTCAGACCAGCGAATCGGTGATCTCGCGAATCTCTTCAGGATCACCTTCAAATCCCCCGTCGACACAAAAATCAAAGTCTTCGTCCTGCACTTCTTCACCGGTTAGACTCCTCTGTCTCTACTGCGATAGAAAGTTTTTGTCTATATCCTTGCGACAGCGACACACAGAAAGAGTGCACCAACTCGGTGGTAGAAGATCGGAGAGAAACTCCCGGAAACCTTCTCAGAATTGCCAGTATTGTTCGGAGAAGTGCGCCGATACTCTGGAGACGCTATTCCAGCACATGATCAGCAACCATGGAGATAAGTATCACGCGTGCGTTCAATGTTTGACAAGGTATCCTACTCGGGAAGCTCTGATGGGGCACATGAACGAGACTCATGGCGGGAATTCGGAAAGGACTACCGGTCAAGCTCAGGTAAATATCGTGGAAAATCAATGAGCAACACGGCTTCTGTTTCACATGTTCTAGAATAGAATATAGAACCTTCGTTCAAGCTTTGCTCAGTGTTTATTTTGCTGAAGATCACTTAAATCTATCTCAAAGTTTGTTAGTCTTCTATTCTCCTTCTGTTGATCTACTCTTGGCTTAGGTACTAAACACATTATTGATATTATTCTACACTATTAAGTTTGTACTTATCTTCAAGAATTATTTTTACGCTCTTTTTTAATCTTGATTATTTCTCTTCCTTTCTGTTTTATGTAGTTATGTTAAATAACTGCGTTTCACAATTGCCGTTGCAACTTTTTATAGTTTTATAATAGATTTTACAATTATATATATAATTGTATAATAGATTGTATAATTATTTTGTTTGTAAGTCTTCAGATTTAATAGTTTTTTAATATATCTGTATTACTTTCTACTTCTGTATTATTTTTTTTTTAAATCGGATACCATCAAATTTATATTATATATTCAATTTTACGCCTCCAAATTAAGGCACCAAACATTTTCATTATTTTCAAACAACCACTTTTTTCAGCCGGAGAAAAGCTCGTCCTGCAAAGAATTCTGCAACCGCGAGATGGTGAAAGTGTTGTCAGTCAGAGAGAGAAGATCCGAAGAAAAGGAATTGGAAACAAGTCAAGGTGACAATCGACAGTCAGACAGCACTCGGACAAAACTCATCGCGACACGGGATTCCATCGATAACCCAGCCAGTCCCGAGTTTGACAGTTCTTTTTACAGCAATGTGAGCTGCAATATCCGCGAGAACTTGCTACACCATTTGGACGGCAAGCTGCAGACGATTGGCGGCGGCTCATCATTGTGCACACCGTCGATTATTGTCTCTGGCTCAACGACGACATCGATAGAATCAAAATCTCAGCAACAACCGCCGCAACAATCATATTATGAGCATAGCGTCAATCAGATTCAATTTCCCATTGACATTTCACTAACCGCGGCGACGCCGGTTTACAGCAAAGACTACTCGGCCGGCGAAGAATACGAAAACTCGAGCGAATATGCGCGTAAGGCCGGTAAAACTAGTAGCGGCACGCGGCCGCGCCGAGTCTCCTTCGAGAAGTACAACTTTCCACGCAAGTACGATGGCAGGGAACAGTGGACATGCTCGATCAAGGACCTGAGCAAGTTTGACATCTCTACGCAGCTATCACTTCGGAAGAAGCAACAGCTGATTAAGGAACGCCTTACCATCAGCAGGCTACATCAAATTCCGTTGTCCGGCGAGATCACTGAAGTATCTCTTCGCGATCGAGAACAGGTTGAATGTGTCGTCGAAACGGCAGCGAGTAGTCAAGATAATGTCGATGGGGGTTGCAATATCAAGGCGGCTTCCGCAACTCTCGACGTCGTCCACTGCGATCCTGACGAATCGCCTCCAAACGAGATCAAGAAGGAGACGACGACGGAAGAATCTTCCGCGACTTCGACATCGTGTTTAACAAAATCGTTTACTACTACGGAATTCACCATTGAATTTGCAGATTTTATGAGACTGAAGAGACGAGAACAAAGCGGTAATGAAGCCGCCAATATCGAAAAAATCATCTACGCGGAGCTGAGTGGCGAATGGTCGCGAACACGAATCTATATATGCGGAGCTTGTGGTTCCAGACACGTGAGTATATTATATTATATTTTATATATATAGTACATATATAGCGCTCTTTCATTTTTAAAAAATTTTTTTTTATGATACTCGAGGCGCTGAGAACCTAGGTAGAGAAACTAGATAAGGAACATTTTTTTAAAAAGATCTCACAATCGTGTCGTTATATGCATAATAATTAAAACTTCAGTTTTAATTTCCGGTAAATATGATTTTTATTCTCTGCCTTTTGTTCTCAGTGTCTCATCTTTTACAATAATCAAAACATCAGCTGGAGCAATAGTATCGGGACTATTTTATACGTAGGTACTATTAAATTTTTTTATTATCTCAAGATTCTCTATATTTATAATTTTATAAAAATAATGTATTAAAGATGTAAGAGAGAGAAGATCTCTCTTTTTTTCTATATATTTTCTAAACAAAAAACTTTTATTAAACAAATAAATAAAAATTTTAATTAATAATTTTAATTTATGTATTACGATAACACAAAAATATATGTTGAACAAAATTTGCGAGTCGAGCTTAATGCAAGATTTTCCAACAATGTTTAAAGAGATATACAATTGTGAACATAGTGGTTAGACAAGATATGATACAACTATAAATTATAAATGATATGCAAATTTGTGTATACATAAGCCTTTAAGATGATTTCAGATATTGCGGTTGCGTGGCAGATGATGAATTTCAATTGGTGCAAATGTGGTCTAGATAATTTATCAAGTAGTGTACTTGATCTTTGACATTCATGCGATACATTCGAACTAAATGGTAAACGCTCGCGGCGATTCATCCAAATCGCCAACTCATTCGTGCAACTCTGTTTCTCTGCTAGCTTATTACAAGTCACAGAAATGAATAGATAATCTAATGCAATCTGTAATGCTGAACTAATATATAACTTTTTATTTTTATGTATAATCTTTGTGACATAAAAATAACGTATAGCTTTCGTATTATCGTAAGCGTAAGCGATTCCGATCGGTCATATCTAGTAAAAAATTTCGAGAAAACACCCAGCAAGAAACCGTATACAGTTTTGTGTCGCGCTAATCCCATTTACACCGATTGAAACACCGCGTATTCATATCGATCGAGACGTAACGCAATGAGATCTAGTTGAATGAATCATCGATATTGTTGTAACGATGCAGATGACGCTAAAGGAGATGGAGGATCACAAGGCTTCTACGCATCCGCGCGTTTTGTGCTCGCACTTTGAGCTGACCGGCGATCAGCGCGAGCAATACAAGCATTTGTATTTACCGGGACAAAACGCACCCACCGACGAGGCACGTGATGTTGTGCTCGTGGAAACGGTGTGCACCAAGTGCACCAAGAGCTGTCTGAACGTGGCCGAGCTGCATCGTCATATGCTGGAATGCGGTGGCGATTACGCATGGTTGCTCGGCCTCACTGGCAGCGGCAAGAGGAAGTGCAAGTGGCGACCGTTCGGCAGCCGCAGCCGTCGGCGACGTCAGCGCGGCATGAAGAGAAACATACAAAACTCGCAGACGCAGCCGCGGATCATCAACACGGAACGGCCCAAGGAGAAGCAGGCACCAGCCGGACCTAGAGTTCGACCGAGCGATCGTAAGAAGAAATTTTTTGTTTCTCGCACATTGATAGTAAAACATTTGCGAATTTACACGTATACGCAATACGATGTCAGCTTCTTATATTAATTCTTATGTCTCGTAATCTATGTAATAGGTTCTCATACATGAATAAAGAAGACGCAAGAAATAGATCGCCTTTTACAAAGTGGAACATATCTTTTAATAGAGACTTTGAATTGAGAATTTATATATATAAGAATAACATTTAAAAAAATATCGTCTTAGAAAATTTTTATTACCGTACATAGCACCGCAATCAATAACATCTCAAACTTGTTCTTAGGCGAGAGTATTCAGAAAATGCTAGCCAATCTGCCGGCTAAGAGGGCCACGAGGAAAGTTTTGCAGGACAATGCGATGCGATCGCAAAGCAAACTACGTAACGTAAGTAACTTAATCGTGCGGAACAATGACTCTACCTCGTCTCAATAATATACTTGATCAAAATTGGATCGATATTAGAATCGTAAAGGGTATTAGCGGCATCGATTATAATCGTCAACTGATTCAATTAGGATATTGATGGCGTAATATCTATCCTTAATAGGCTTCTCCTACATAAAGCCTTTGCGATAATATAGTTAGATATTAGTCTTCCCAACCATTTCAATGAAAACCACATGTACATATCAGAATCGCGTAATGAAATGTTATTTAGAACATTTCTTCAATATGTCGTAAATAATTGCTTTTTTATTTATGCAAATTATCAAAAAGAAAATAATTTATTTTTTTTTTTTACGACACCTTAGGTAGAGAAATCAGCGTTAATAAGAAATAATAAACGGGACTAATTAAAATTGTACAAACGATTTGATATAAGTTTATATATTATCAAGACAAATGATGTAAGCAATAAAATGTCATATCGCGATGTTAATCTGGACGACACAAATATCTTAAATAATCGAGGAAAAGTCACGAAAAAATGGAGATTCGTCGAAATGATAATAAAGCGTTATTGCCTTGCGCGCCTCGTCGCACATGAGCGGAGGCATCGATTAGTTGATATACATGCTCGTTACAAATACACGTTCTCATGATCGTGCACAGAATCACGTGCAGATAGAGCGATTTTTATATTGTTTTGTAACGTTCAGTTCTTTGGGAAAACGCTTCTTTTTTTTTTTGCTTCAATCAACCTGTTGTTCCTGTTATTTATATTTGTCTTGTATGTTTATTAGACTATTGTATATACAAAAGTAAATTGTATAAATAAGAATTTAAAATTGTGATCATATAAAATATAAACATAGAATTATTGATTTTCTTTTTAAAAATAAAAAACTTGAAATTTTATCTTGACGAAATTGAAACTTATCAATTCGAAAGATATGCACCTATTCGATATCACCGTTATAGCGGTACCTTTGAACTTTGTTGAAACAGGTGCAGACGAGAACGAGGCCACGCATCGGCGACAATTCGTCCGTGTCACGAATCTCGCGCAACAAAGCTGCCCTGAGGAATAAATTGCTGAAGAACGCCAAATCGATCCAGCGCAATCGCTGTCGAAGTGACAACATAACCGCAGTGATCGAAAGCGTCGTGAAGAAGTGTCACGAGACCGAGAACGGACCGGACGGTGACGGCAACAAGAATGTCGAAATCGAGGACGAGGGTAAGAAGGATGCCAAAGAGATCAACGAAGTCTTCTTAGCCAGTAAGGCTTCAGATTCGGACGATAAGATTGTTCGTCCGAAAGTCGGACGACCTAAAATTTTTGGCAAAAAGGGGAACATGAAAACGAAAACGGACAATTCTATTAACAAGTTTCAATTTCAAGGTAAAGCTAGCGATAAAATGGCGAATTTAAAAGCAAAGGGCAAATCCGTAAAATTCAAGAGCACTGCTATTTCAAAGAGCGATGCAAAAGGCGAGGAAACGTCCTCTCCAAAGAATATACCAAAGAACTCGAGAACGACCGATAAAGACGACTTCAATTCCGACAGCAAAAGAATAGCGACGGTTTCTGGAATGAAGAGTAAGAGTAAATCGACGCAAGGCACACTGAAGAGGAAACGTCCCGTGGATCCGGTAGCATCCTTGAACGCCTCTCTCAAAGCGAAGTTGCAGTTACGAACACAAGATGGCAAGTTTGCTCGCAATCCGAATAAAGACTCATCAGCGAAATCGTCAGAAGTGAAAATGGACAATGGAAAACATAAGGTTGCCATTTCGGCCGAAAATAAATTGTTGAAGTCGAAAACGATTCAAAAGTTGAAAAAAGCCGAAGTACAGCTGCCACGAAGAATCACCCGATTATCGTCGGACAGCGACAAGATGCCGACTTTAGAACCAGCAGTACAAATACTGTCTTCTAACGAGGAATATGCCGATAAATCAACGAACGATCTGCCTATCTTGTCGCCAGTTACATCATCAGGATCTCTTCAAGATCAAAAGACACTTCGAACTTCCGCAAAAAACATTTTAAAGGAGAAAGAGGGTAATACCGAGACAAATACTGATCGCGAGGTTGCACCGGAAAAAAGCACGAAGGAACAGAAACCGACGCGGGGACGAAAGCCAAAACAGGAATCGAAAGACATGATGAAACAGAAGGAGGTCGAGATAGTTGGAGAAAATGAGATCTCTAAAAATAGCTCGACGGTGTTAAAGGAGAGAAGAACGAAAAACAAAAAGAGTTTGCACATCAAAAATATTAATAACGGCGAAAATAGCAAAGAAGAAACATTAAAGAGTGAGATAATCGCTAAAAAGGATTTAAAACCAAGGAAAGAAGAAACTACGAAAGAAACTCGAAGCAATTCGAAAACCATAATAGAAAAAAATTCTATGAAACTGCCAGACATCCCGTTTGAAGTAAAGAAACTCTTGGGTTCGGCTTCGATAGTAAGCAAAGAAGACGTCTTGAATACATTAGAACTCGCGTCTAACGATACTGGCTCGAAACGCAATCTGAGACAATCGACGCCAAGATCGAAAATGGTCCAACTGCTCCGAGATCTTGATGATGAATTCGACAGCTCAAAGGAATCCAACAAGAAGGAGAAGATAGACGCAATTAGGAAATCGTCCAGGAAAAACATTGAGAAGAAGAGCGATGACGTGGAAACGATTAGCCTAGAGAAGGAGTCGGTTAACAACACGATTACCAAAGACGCAACTAACAATGTTGCGCAAAACGAAAGAAGTCAACAAAACAAAAAAGACAACCGAGCAAATGCGAAGACGAAGGAAATCGATAGTACTGATATCGAGGATAAGATCGATAGCAGACAGACAAGAAGATCATTGATCGATGCGAGGGGTGAGCCGTCTTTGGAAGCTGCGAACGGTAACTCTCAAAAGAGTAGCGGTTTGTTTGGGAAGCGCCGCAGTCGCAACAAATCGGTTGAGGAGACTGAAGAGATTAATTCACGTGCGATTCAAAAACAGAATAACAGTGAAAATGTCACGCCGAGCGAGAAGGAAGTCCAGAAGAAGGAGAAGTTCAAAGAGGCCATCGATAAGAACGAAACCGAAGGTGATAGTAACAGCAATTTTGATGATCGCGACTCGACGATAGTGAATCTCAGTCTGAGCCATTTGCAATCCGAAACGAGCAACTTATCTGTTGATAGCGGCAAGGAGAATTCTTTGGAGACTTCCGTAAACATTCACAATAAATTGAAGGTAACAAGGCCGAGAAAAACGTGGGGCGCACGTCGAGAGAGATCATCGAGGAAGAGATCTTTGAACAACGTCATCGGCATTCTGACGGAAGGCATAAACATTCCCGTGGAACAGAGCGTGCAGGTATTGACGATTCAAACCAGTCTAGACAATCCAGATAGAGTGGCGCGTAACGGAAGCACGCAACAACCCGTTGACGGCGAGGGTAATGTAATCGTGGTGGACTCGGCGTTCAGCGAACTGTCAGTTCTTGCTAGGAGCGAGCAGGAATCTGCGGGAAATGAAGTTATAGCAACGAATGCAAACGACAATCATTGCGCGGATGATGAAAAGAACGCTCGTTCTTGTATTGATAAAGCACAGGATGCAAATACTTTTACGGATCAGATTGACGTGTCGTCGAAAGTCTCGACTGCCAAGATGCATTCACCAGCCAACGACATCATCCTCGATCTGTCCAGGAGAAAACCCAAGGGTAAGGGTTCTTTCCTAGAGAAGATTGTATCGAAGATAGCCAAGCAAAAGGATGCTCTGTTAGAAGGTGAGGTAGGTTCCCTTCTGGACAACGCCGCTGACGAATTGACCAGCATCCTCGACGAAGTCGGGCCTGCTTTGGCCGATAACGCAGAGAGTGCGAATTTTGGCGAAGTAAGTTATGCCTCAAAGGACGAGAACAATGAAAGTATAACGAATACCGATAAAACACCGATAAAAACTAATAAAAAACCACCAGTAATTGCCACTCCTGAAATCCAATCGTTGGAAGACAATATAACTAATATCAAGAGTGCAGCTTCCGAACGTTCAATGGATTTAATGGTTATTCAAGATAATCTTGAAGAGAATTTGGCAACGAAGATTGAAATGCAAATTCAGAGCAAGAATCAAACTAAGGTAAATGGTGTTTTAGATGTTGAAATGAAAGACAACTATGTCGTAGATAGACAAGTGAGTGGTACAATGCGTTCTGTTGAAGAATCACAGGTTGAATCTTGCGAGAATAAATCGGCAACGAACGAAGAAGCAATTATTCCAATGGAGATCCCAGATGAGACTCCATCATCATTGACAGATACCTTAACAGAAATTTCCATTTCGTCAATTACGGTACCAAAACTAGACGTAGAAAAATTTGAAATGAAGGAAAAATCCAGGAGAAAATCTAGCAAGAGATCGCTGGAGGACGCAAACTGGCCGAAGAAAAGCAAAAGAAAGTCATTAGAAGTCGTTGAAGAGCTTGCTGAAAAAAATATACAAAAAGAGCTCCGACTCGACGACGTTATCGCGTCTAATTCTAAACAAAAAGAGATGTTCAACGTTGGACACGAGCTTATCGAAAAAGAAGATGAAATCATAGAAATTTCGAAAATAGATGCTGAAGTCGAGAAGCTTCAATGTAACGAAAGCAAAACTATCGAAGATTTGGAGCTATCGAGTTTAGAAAAAATTCTCGTGGAAGACAATGAATCAAATTTGGAGAAATTTGCCAATCTTCCAGAAGCGGCTTATGAAGAAGCGAATGAGTTAACAGCGAGCCTTGAAGAAACCGTTCATAAAATAATTTCCGATGGAAAAGCTGTCGAAGCCAATGCTCGATCGATAGAATTGATCGAGGAAAGCATTGAATCCTCTGTATTATCTTTGAAGAAGACTGTTAAAAGCGGGAAAAGTACGGATAGAACTCAAAAGAAAAACCAAACCGATGATGCAAGCGAATCTTCATATCGACGTTCGTCGAAAAGGAAATCACAATCTCTTTCAGATGTTCTTCAAACTTCCGTGAAGCCTATTAATGAGGAAAAAAAGCTGTTAACTTTATCACCCCAAAAAGATTCTGAAACATCAAAGAAACATGCTACGAATAAAAAATCACTAGCAGATGAACATTTGGATCTATCAAAAGACGAATCTGTCAAAGTTGCTTCGAAATTTAATGAGGAACTTAATGTCACAGATTCTAACGAGCATTTGTCTGCCAACTTGGAACATTTCAAGGTACCGGAAGTAAAGGATCTGTTGCAGAGCGTGAAGAAACGGGGGTCAAAAAAGAAGTTGTTGTCCGAGGATGATCGCTGCAATAGCGAAAGTGTTTCCGAAGAGTCTCGTATAAACAAAGAACTTGCAGAAGTTAGTGAGATATCTAACTTGATCGAGAAAGTCAAAGAGCAAGTAGAATGTAAGAAACATATTGTGCGAAAACAATCAAGCACAAAGAAACTCGAAAGATCAAGTTCTTCAGGTTCGATTGGGTTCATTCCATCTCTAATCAAGACAAGATCCATGTTCAAAAAAAGAATACAGCTATCGAGTGAGGATCTTGCCGTTTCCAGCATTCGCAGTCAAGACGCTGAGAGCACGGATGACCTATCCGAGAGTTCGTGCGCCAGCGAGTCCAGCTATTTCAGGAAGAAGCGATTCGCTAAGAGGAAGAGGAAGGAAGAAAATATTGCTGACAGTAACGAACGAGAAGGTTCAATAATTCTAAAGAGCGATAAAGAAAATTCGAAGAAAAAAACGCAAAATGCTAAATCATTGCTCGATGAGCACCTTGATCTTTCTGATATGGACGATATCGATATTCCAATGGATATCCAAGCTTCGTTGGAGAACACAAAAGCTTTGGAAAACATCGAACGAGAGTTTGAACTCGCTGAGAAATCTTTAGTTTTACAAAATGAGAATGCAGATGATAAACCAATGGCAGATGAATCAACAAATAAAAATGCCACAGCAGAGCAATCAGTATCGAATAACTATGATTCTCCGGATGATCCGATCACCCCGAAGAAACGCGCGGCCGGTAACTTTGTTGTAGTGCATACAAAAACCGGCGAAATTCTAATAGTGGAAAAGAGGAAAAAGCTAACAAAGGAGGCAGCTAGATTTTTTTGCGATGTGTGTGCCACTAGTTTTACTCGCAAGAGCTCCCTGAAGAAGCACACGTTGTCGCAATCCCATTTGTCGCAGATAGCGAAATCTACCAGGGATAAAATTGAATCTGTTAATAACGCCACGTCTGAAAATACTGAAGAAATCGACGAGAAAGGGAGAAGTAATCAAGTAAGTGATCAAAATACGAAGAGTGTTTTAGACGATGCTCAATCTCATGAAGTTACTCAGAAGTCCGTAGAATTGAACGAGAGTTATGCTCCTTACGGAGCTAGCACGGAATCTCTGGTGGATCTAGGTGGAGTAACGAGGCAAGAAACGCTGGAAGACAAATTGCTAGACGAGGAAATCTGCAAAATCACCGAAAACATGAGCCACGACGAATATGTTCTCACGGATCAACTAACGCCGGAGGAACCAGTGTCATCGTCTACTCCTATGAAACAAATTCAGAAAAAGAAAGAGGAATCAGGGCAAGGCAGGAATGGCGATAAGAAGCGCAATAAATCAAAGAAGAGGAATCTAGCGGAAGAACATTTGATCTTGGATTCTCCCGAGTTGGAAGGATCAAAAGTTGATTTGAACGAGCCTCTGAATCCGGTTAATGAATGGAGCTCTTCTTCACCACCATCTTGCGAGCATAGTTCGACAAAAGAAATAATACAAACAGTAAAAAAAGCCAATGACATATCTGAAGAAATTCAACGTGCGGATTCAGCCAAAACGCAGAATCAGATAGAGTCGATTGTTAAACATTTAAATAACAAAATAGATTGTTCAAAATTATCATCATTTGACACTGATATAAAATGTGAACAGCATATGGAATCCACAAGAACTACGAGGAGCAGCACGATGAGGAAATTCTGCAAGATAGATAATGATAGAAAGGAAGAGACTCAAACTTCAACTGAAATTAGTCGTTTTAATTCAAGACCGAGAAGATGTAAAAACATTCAGAATTACAATGAAATAGCTAACATGGAAGTTATTGATGTTATGTGGACTTTTATGGGAGCTTCTATGAAAATTAACAACGACGAGATAGAAAATAGTTGCGATTCGCAAAAGAGACAGAACGAAACAGAAGAAGAAATGATTAAAGCGTTACAGGAAATGGCATATGATGATACTATGGCGTATACGGAAGTCGCAAAATCAAAGCTAGACTCGTCTAACGATATTAAAAAGAAAAAACGTGGCAGACCGAGACTCAAGGATCGTATTTCGAATTCGATTATTACCTCAGTTCACGCGGAATTTGAAGTTAATGAAAATGATATTGTCGCTACGAGTAGTTTCGAAGAATCAAAAACCGAGGATCAAAAATTAGTTTCTCATACTAAAGAGCGTCTTGACGAGGTCAGCAAGACGCCATATATTGATGTAAATATTCAACCTTCTAAACGAAGTAGAGGCAGACCTAGAAAAAATCCTGTACAAATCGCAAACAATTTTGTAATACAAACAGACGATTCTAATGTCTCCGAATCGATGAAATCAAAATGCAACGAAGTAACAGAAAAAACAGAACAGATTGAATCCGAAATGTTGGTCATCGAAAAAGCTGCTTCGATCACTTTAGTAGATTCTTTGACATCGAACGTTGAATCTTTGCCTGCTGTTGAAAGTCACAATCAGGAATCGAATTTATCAGAAACAAAAAGAGATGAATTAAAGGTTGAAGAAAACGAGATTCAATTGACCAAGATGAATACTTCTGAAAATCAATCGGTGCAAAAAGTAGAATCTACGGACATCAAGATAGCTGATACCATGCCTGCAAAGAATTGCGACATGCTTACTTTCAACGTTCCATCAGAAAAGAATAAAGCCGTCGATACATCGATGCCGTCGGAGATGAACGTACGTGCTGACGATGCAAAACATCAGTCAGAGAATAAATCTGATTATAATAATACAAGCGCAAATATTTTAATTAACTCAACAGTCGAATCTTTAGATGAATTTTCTTCGGAAATTATTGAAAAAGTATCAACTACAATTGATGATTTGAAATCGATCGAGTCCATTAAAGCAATTGAACTTGATGAGAGTTTTGAGATTCAGAAGCTACCGAATATTTCAGAAGAGAAAAGAACGTCAGGAGAGGAACTTCCAGAGGTGGAAATATTCCATGAAGAAACGAAGCTTATATCGGAATCAGGAGACAGCGAGGACGAAATCACTGACGATAAATCTCTTCCCATCACAAATCTTCGCGAGTTGCTAGTTCAGAAAACGATAGACGATTTAGAGAATGATAGCATCTACGATAAAAAAACAACTCGATTGGAATCGTCTAACAAAAGATTATCTGGAAGTTTCCAGTCAGCCGGCAAAGAGCGAGAAACTGGTCGTAGAAAATCAAAAGCCTCTCGAGATAGAAGGAAAAAGGTGGTCAAGATCGCTGAATTATCGAGCGACAGCGAGAATGAAGTTGATAGAATCGAATCTGCTTCTTCGAGTAAAAGCAAGATCGTGAAGAGCGTGTTTGGCAGAGTATTCGGCGGCGAGAAAGCGGATAAGGTGAAGGAGGTACTGAATGACTGGGTATCGCGGTCGGAAGACGACTCGGACATATCCAGAAGCGCTTCCGAAGCGAAATCCTGTTTACGCGGACTGACCAAGATCTCCGAAAACGGATACAAGAAGGATAAAAAACGCCATTCAGGAATTCTTACGGGCTCCGACACGAAGAAAGATGCCGAGCTATCTCCCAGAAAAAATGGAAACGACAAAGGCAATAGTATCGAAGTTCACGGAAAATTAAAGAACCGAAAAAAACGAGAAAAGGATTTTAATTTGATGCCCGAGGATCGTATCGAATCGTTGTCACCTGTTAACCCAGCCAAAAGGAGACATCGAGAGAGCAAGATCAGAGCGGATGAGAGAATACTCAGAACCTTTGATGACGAGTCGCTAATTCTTTCGGAAGGTGATGAAAATGTGAACGAGGTTAAAGAAACAAGCAATCAGTTTGACGATGATTATTTGAGCAACAAAAATGACGAATCGGGAAGATATTACGAGGAAGAAGAGCGAACGAAAGATAGGAATTCGATTTCTGCGGACTGGGAAAATCTTCGAGTCGGCCATGATGCCTATGCAAAATCGAAAAATAGTTCCAGTTATCGTAAAAAGCAGGATACTAACGCAAGGGACGAGCGTTCTTCTTCGCCTTCGCAGTTCAATATGTTCAAATGTAGACGGAGGCAGAGTAAGACTAAGGCCGGCGAGAGGATCTGGAAAACCCTTGACAACGAGACTTCAACGTGCTTTTCTGACGATCAGGACCTTAAAGAGACGCATAAAAATTTTAAAGAGCGAGAAAGTGGATTTCATGAATCTAGAGATGCAGATTGTTCGAAAAATTCAAAGAGTGTCGAACATAATGATGACACTTGGAAAAATACCAGTTTAATAAATCAATCGCAGGTCGAAGCACAAAATGCACGCGGAAGATCAAGAAAGGACTCGAATAATCGTAAGAAACAGAATTTCAATATAATCCGAATAGACAAGACGAAAACGGATAATATTATTTCAAAAAATTCCGATAATGATTCATTGATTGCTTTAAGAAATCAAAAAACGAAAGACGAAACGCAAAACGATCAAGCGATTCGATCTACAAATGAATCGAGGAACCGTTCGAAAAATCTGACTGTCAAAGATAATACTTATGAATCTTTTGCAGATATGAATCATCATCCAGCGAATTCCAGAAAGAGCAAAAAAGAAACCGCCAGTGAAGACTGGAAATGTTCAATGAAAAGTTTGGAATTTGATAAGGAAGATCTCGCGAAGGATAATCAGCTGATGGAGAAGGAGATTAGAGAGAAGCATGAGGTATCCACGATGTTGTCGCGTAGCTGCAACAATTTGACGGGACCAACTATGAAAGATCAATTCGTCAATCTCGACGGAAATTCTCAGATGATTCGGGAATCTGATAATGACGAAGAGAAAGAGCAGGAAGATGACGACGACGATGATGACAATGATCTCGGACGTCGAAGAATGTCACCGTTTTACGCTTGCGAGACTCCCGACAGCTCGATGGAGAATAGCTCTAACAACGAGGAGGATGAGGAGGAAGATGGCGAAGGGAACGAAGAAGAAAGGATGACGCACGAAGATACTTCCAGAAAGACGAATCCCAGCGAGTTTTCCGGGGAAAAAATTGTCATCAGGTCGCCGTCATCGGGTCACAGATCGGACGTGGTGACGATCGCGCCGACGGACGCAATCGAGGATAACGCTTTGGATGTGCCAAGAGAAATTGAGTCGACGACGGAGCCGCGGCAAGGCAAAATTCTAAACTTCGACGAAGAGCTTTTCGTAGAGTGTTGCTCGAGATTGAAGGCCACCAGCGAGAATGAATTGAGAGGCGCGAAGAAGATCAAGCTGGATCACACGGAATCTTATCACAGGCGAGACGATCAGCCGCAAGGATTTAGGGTCAACAGAGACCGATGGAAGGACGTGGAGAGTCAAAACAGCCTTGGCAGTCTTCTGGAATCGGTGAATCAAGTGAGTACCGAATTTTTATTATTATTATATATTACCGATATGTATGCATGTGTGTATAAATTAATATTCATTGACAATAATTTCTGTATATATGTGTTTTATTTTTCATTCGATTTAATCTGTTTAATAATGCGATAATTGTAATTTTAATTTTTTTATATATACATATATTTAAGATTATTTTTGTGAAAATAATCTCTGTAATTGTCCTGAGATTTTAGTTCTCTTCTTTTCTTTATTTATTCTCTCTTTTCTATAATTATACTGATTTTAAAAAAATACATTACACAATATAAAGTATGTCTTACTTAAAATATATCTTACTTAAAAATTTAAGTATATCTTACTTAAAAATTCTAGTTGCTTGGCGAGGAGATGTGCAACAGCCACGACAAAAGTTATCGAACGCGCGGCAGCGAGCAATCGAGCAGATCCGCCAGTCCGGATACATCGCGAGTCGACAATCTCGGCTACGAGGACAGTCTGGACGTAGCCTTTGAACATAATAACAAGCTTCGAGACAAGATTCAGCAGCGTATGAGAGAGAGCGAGAATCTGATTGCCAGCACATTCGGTCAGAAGACCAACGATAATGATCATTCTGGCGACGACAAGCGAGACAGTGTTACCTCATATTCTTCGAGTATGCACGAGCACGAACAACAATCTACCTCAATCGCGTCGAATAGAGAGCGAATACCATCGCCGGGACACAAGAACAAGATGAATTCGACTCTAGGTGGTCTGCTAGACAAGGCATTGTCCAATTTATTGCACAACAACGGCAAACATGACCATAAGTGAGTATCTCGATTCTCAAATCTATGCATTACATTAATTTGTGCTTTTTTAATAGTAATCGCGCGCGTAATAAATATATTTTATCTAATATATTTTTGCTTTTGAGAAAAACGCAAGTTATTAATATTACATCAATATGATGATGTACTTTGATGTGAATAATACTTTGACGTAATAAACTTTCGAACTTAGGAGAAACGAAGGTGCTTAAAACTTCGTAAATACTTCATGAATAAACTTGCAGAATTTTCCTGGCCACGGGGATCTTTAACGACTTACTAATACCATAAAATTTTACGCCAAAAGGCAGACTTTAATTTATTTTTCTTATAGACAGAGATGATTTTAGTTTGTGTATATAAAATTCGGATATAAAAGTGTAAAAAATTTTCGAGATCGATAGAATGCATACACAACAAAATATCAAGCTAGATGATTAAAAATATATTTGACTGTGTTTTATATACAGGATAGATATCAAATGTCAAAGTGCATTTTTCTGCTTTGCTTTCGATTCAACACCTGTTGATCGCTTGTTTATTCATCGATGCACGGCTATATGTTTTGTTTTCATTCCGTTCTTTGATTATGTTAAACTAAATGTAGCGCATTATCGGCGTGTAAAGAATAAAGAATGATCGGAAAAAAATAATCCACGTGTTTCGATCGTGATTATTCCTGATAAAAATTAGCTTTCCGAAAATCGAAACCGAATTTTGCCGTATGATGCAATGTCGGGGAAGTTGTCGATATCCTCTTCTTTTTTCAATTCACCCTGGAATTATCCAAGCGTGTCAGTGTTCTCAGTTTTCACAAAGGATGGTCGTAAGGACCGCTCTCGCCGAACGATGCCCATTCGTTCGTTGCGTATTGATCCATTCTCGTCACTCCACTCTATATGCGATATGAGCGATCTTTCCCGCAATAATACCGATGTATAATGTTTTTTACATTATAGGGCTCTATATATAGCAATTATTGTCAGTATACGCGCTACATTTATTATTCGATCAGATTATTTACCGGCAAACGTGCTTCTTGAGGATATAGTTTAAAGGAAAGAAATATATGTATGGGTCGAAAAAGAGTGCATCTCTCTCTCTCTCTCTCTCTTTTATAAATTTCAAAGATAGAATAAAGTGTAAAGGAGATGTCACTACAATATCGATTAATTTAGATTGTAACATGAAAATTAATATTTTCCTCAATAAACAATACCATATAAAATGTCACAAATTTTATTAAGTTTATGGTTTTACAATTTTATTTAAAATTTTGTTAAAAAATTTTATAAAAAGATAACAAATTATTAAAAATACAAGGATTTTTAATGGATGATTATAGTCATCTACACATAGCAATATTTTCTATCTCAATTAACTATATAGTCACATACAAGTTTAATAACGAATCTTGCTATTGTCGATGTACGAACAACTGCGTTCGTTGATATACATAATTTATAAACTAATTTCATTCCACAGCGGATCCGCTCCAATGAAGCTGTTGGCGGAACTGGCCTGTGCACGAGCTCCTACCTCTACGTTACCGGAAGATACCACGAACAACGGCAAGAATCATCAATCGGTGAAGATGGTCGCCGTGGCGGTGGCGGCGGCAGCTGCAGCGACAGCGACCAAAGATACCTCGGATTTATCGAAGAAGCCGACGAAAGGGTCGGCAGTAACGTCGAAAACATCTCTAACAAAGAAAACAAGAAACCCTATCAAAGAGCTATTTGAACGCAAAAAGGAAATAAACGACAGAAAAGAACGCTCAAAGGCTACGCTGATGGAGTTAAACGTGCAGAAACCACGCAAACCGAAGAGGGGTAAGAAGCAGCAGCAAGAGTTTCCACTGATTCGTAGAAACGAGCTATATGGTGGTTTGATGGAGAAGAAGAAGCGTCGCGAATCCGATCGGAAAGGGGAATCGGAAAGAATAAAGGATGTGTACGAATTTGACGAGGAGGAGAGCCAAACAGCGCCCACTTTGGGTAGCGTGATGTCTTACAGGAGCCAAGTCGATAAGAGTTACGAGACCAATTGGAAGAAGGATATCGACGGAGATCTTGGCACTTTGGAGAACGGCAAGACTAATTATATTGCGGACACAAAATTAGGCGTTATAATTGACCGTAAGTTTCAAGAACTGGAGAAGTTTGCGCCCAAGACGAAAGGCGCTTTGAAGTCGTTCCAGAGTGAAGAACAGCAGCAGCAGCAGCGGGTTGCCGATCAAATCACCGGACCGATGGACGACTTTGTGGAAAGAAAGCAGCAACGCTTGAAACGTTTTGAGCAGAGCATCAAGCAGTCCAGCAAATTCAAGAAACGAGGTAAAAGTTCAAAAAAACGGGCGAGAAACGCGTGGTATGAGAATGATAGCTCGGACGAGTTTAGGACAGCTGCGAAAGCGGAAGATGTTGGCGTCGGCATTTCGAAGAGTCAACGCGCATGCTCGAAGGGCAAGCAGAATCTCTTTGCGGAATTGTCAACGTCGTCCGAGAGCGAATACGAACGGAAGGACGATGTTGAATATGTAATTGGGAATGAACAACAATCTCTGTCGAGATCGAGAAAGAGCCTAAAGAAACAGCTCGACATCGACATCGAGGAGATGAATTGTGATGAACACATAATCAACGAATCCAAATTCGATAACGAGAATCAAATTGCGAATTGCGATTGGCAGAATCAAATAGCGCAGAACAATGCTATAAAGAAGGATTACGACGCCGCGAAATCAGAATCGGAAATGTCGGATCGTTCGTTAGTGATAGATGAGAGAAAAACGACTGATGAAGCGAGGAACAGTGATGACGATGCGGACAATCAATATGAAAGGACGTTTGAGCTGGAAGATCTGTACAGAGAAGATAGTTCGGAGACGGAGACGGAGGAGGTCGAGGGCAATGAAGAACTGGCACCGACGGCCGAGGCAGCAAAGGACGACAGAGTTGGAATGCAAGCATCGGATGAAGAAAATGCAATTTCGCAAACGAAAGTTATTTCTATGAATGTGAAAGACGACTATGCACCGGAGAACGAATTGATTCCTTTGGAAGAAGCTTTAGATTTCTTGGATCGGCACGAGGATCTGGAGTCGAAATCTGAAAATGTACGCTCGAAAGTTCAAACTGAAAATGATAGTGTCAATGGCACTTTACATACAGTGAATGAAATTTCTAATGATGGATTCATTAACATGGAGAAGGAAAATAAACATCTGGATCATACAGAGGCACAAGATGAAAAGGAAGAACCGGATGATGATGTTCCAGCTTTGCCCGAGAAATTATCCAGTAATGAGAAACCGCAGAAAGAATCCGATAACAATCTTCCTCTTCACGTGTTCCTTAGCAGAAAGGTGCAAGAATCGAAGAAGAGAAAGCAACAGCAGTTAGACAAATTACGAGAAGAGCAGGAGAGGATACTCATGGACTTTCAGCCGACTAGAAGACAAAGAAAGTGCGCGATAGGCAAGCAAGGATTGCTAGCGGAAATTAGCAGTTCAGACGAGGAATCATATACTAGAGATAATAGCAAGAGAGGAAACGATCACGACAAATCGCGTAAGAAGCGGGAATCGAAAGAGAAAAAAAAGGAGAGGTATCTCGAGAAAAAGCACGAGCAAATAATTGCTAAAGAGCAGAAAGCGATCGAAGAAGAGATTTTGCGAGAAGTCGGCAAGAGAAAAGAGATTCTTGCACAAAGCATAGACGTAGATACCGCGTTGAATATCGACGTAATGGAAACAAATATTGTTTTCGGGCAGGCCCATAAAAAGAAACACCAACCGAAGGAGAAGCAAAAGAAAAGCGGTGACGAGAATACTGTGCAACACACCACTAATCAGTCTTCTTTTGGCAGTTCAGAAGACATTCATAACAATTTAGAACACGTTTTTTCTTCTACAGAAAGTATCACCGGAGAGAACAACGACCACTTATCAATTTCACCTAAACGAAAAAAACTCTCGAAATCACCGACGAGACTGAAAAAAATTCCCAAACCGGGCGAGAACGGAAAGATCTCGGCGAACAAGAAAAGTAAAGAATCAATTGTGGAGAAATCCAAGAAGACATGCGTGAGCAATAATAAGGAGTTGAAGGAGCGCAGATCATCTAGCGGGAAACACGACTCTGATGACGAAGAGCTAAAAACCACCAAATCGTGGAACAAAGTCGAGGAGGGCGTCGGGGTGGCGATCGGCAGGCGAAAACGCACTGCCGCTCTTCAGCTATACTATTGGTCCAGCTCGAGTGACGAAGAAGAGGCGCCGGAGCCGGTTTTGGTGCCTGAAGAGGAAGAGGACGATCGACAGGAGCAGCATGGATGGATAGTGGGCGATTCCCATAAGCGAATGATAACGATGTTGGCGATGGAGAAGCAGCAAAAAGAAAAGCGACGCAGAAGCGAAGATGAATTCGAATCCGGCAAATCAAAGAGCAAAAAACATCGGAACAGTACTTCTTGATACGTGTTTCACGATTAAATCTATACCGCGTGATGGACGCGATATTGACGATTACGTCATCGCGATTTTTTTCTAGAAATTATGGAGGCAAAAGTGCAAGAAGAATTTGTCTCTTCAATTAAAATTACGTTTTATTTCAGAGCGGTTATCCGCAGGCAATTCTATTTAGGTAGACAATTGTGTATAAGTGAATGGTGCGAAGTTATTTGTTGTGTTCGACCTTATTCTTCTTTTGTTGCATATTAAATGATGAAAATCGAATGTATGAAAGTGATTTGGCGAATAGAAGAAGCGTATCATGGACATATAAAGAATTTGTATGTCTATATGTATCTTATATGTCTATGAAGCGTATAAGGAAGTGAAGAAAGAGATATAAAATGTACATAGAGCTGCTTGATATTAGAGTAAAAGATTAGAGATTAGAAAAGTATCCTTCCGTTGCACTAAAAGTGTGTGTATGTGTGTGTGCGAAACATACATACACACAACTTGAGATCTTATATAAATAATGCAAGTTCGCAACATTATATAGACTGAACATGAGAAGTAGTAGAAAGTGAAGAGGGCACCCTTAGACAATACTAGGACATTTGTAACATTTAGTTACGTAGGGGAGTTTCCTACACACAATACGAGAAGATAAAGAAGAAAGAGAGAAGAAGAAGGAAATCAGTCACAGCCGCTTATTTAGAAAAGGACGACGTATAAATCCGGGTCCAATCAAGTTTAGTGCTTCTACACAGCTTTTTGTGATTCGTAAAATGTATTTCTCCGTGTATACTTGCATATTCTTATATATTCGTACGTATTCTTACATATCGCAGAATGAAGTAAAAAAAAAATATGAAAAGTTTGAGGACGATTTTGAAAATACCACGTTTGAGGAGCTAAATGCTTATGAACGCGAAAGAACGCAAGAGGTGAAATTGTTTTGATTTTTATTTTTACGAATTTTTGTAGATCTCAAGCTTGCACGACATAAAATGAAGTTACGCGTATATTCAAAGAAAAACAAATGCTTGTTTACACGTGAAACGCGGACATTATTTTTTTTCTTTCATACTCGCATCTCGTGCACATAAGACATAAGTATATAGATTTTCATATATTACGAAAAAATGTTATATATGTTATACGCAAATGACAGAAAAAAAGTAAAAAACGATTATAGACTTTAATGTAAATGTACTGCCATAATCATATATATTATACGAAAAAGAAGCCTATGCGAGAGAAAAATATAGTAATTAATATTATTCCTCTGTAAAGATTAAAAAAAAAAAAAATCTCTAGCACAAAACTATAGGCGATGATCTAATGTAAATAGAGCATATTTTCAATGTGTCTGGAAAAAGTATGTTTTGTAATATAAGGATTACAAAGAAAAAAAATAAAATTATTCAACAATATATTTCTTTTTCTCGTTTAATATGATATATTAAATAAACTGCTCTTATAAATATAAAAAGCTCAAAATATATTTTTGTTTGTATAATTTACATTGTATTTAGTAATATATTTCTTGAGAGAAAAAGAGAAGTTACTCTTACTAAATATAAATCAAATTTGGCGCGTTATCACGCGCAATGTTATCATACGTAGAAACATAGGCCGCTCATGCTACGTGCGAGCGAGAGAGAACGCAAGGGGCACGAAATAGAGTATGTCCTTTTCTACGTGGACATCGGCTCCCACTCCTTAAATAAAGGCAAGCGCTCGGTCTAGATATACTATGTCTATGCGTAGAAATGTCCGTTTAGTTTCAGAACAGCATGCTAGGAAATAACAGAGTATCAGTTGGTATGATTACACATTACTACATTCTATGGAGAGCATTTTTGAACGCATCTTTAGAGAAAGATGAAACATAGACTTCTCTCTCTCTCTCTGAATATAGAAGGTGCAAGCAAAACGAACACATCTACACTCTACACTTTTAATGGCAGTGCCTATGCCTATAGTTATTTATCGACAACGGGTAAGATCATCCTTGAAAAATGGAGCAAATCATATATGGCAAATTCGGGTAAGATTAATATAATTATCAGTAAAATGAAGCAAGATAATAACTCTATTTATTCCAAATGTGGACATTAAAATATTTGGATAGTAAAACAATTTATTAGAATAAATACAATTTATATTTTATATATGCATGTGATCGATATGAGAGTATTTGGGGTTATAATACACATATTTCTTTATCAATTAAATTAATAATACTTTATCGCGTTAAAAACGCTCTTTTTTTATTTGTAACTTTTTAAAAATATATTTCAACTTTATTGTCTTTCTTTCTTTCTGTTTAAAATGTTTTCTATTTAAATCTTAATAAATTATATTTGTATTGGTTATAATTATTTATAATTTTTTTCTAAGTGAATTAATATATTTTTCTTTTCTTTTTTAGTCATGGCATTTTATTAGTCTCCAAAGCCTCCAGGTATTCAGTAACAGTCATTAATACACGGAAACTAATGTCTGAAAAATTTAGTAGGCATTGTAGACCATTACTAGCATCACCACAATTGAGATACTTTGCAAATCCACATCGTGGATATGCTATGGTAGTAGCGAGAATCTTAAGGGGAGCATTAAAAATTCGATATCTTCTCTTGGGAGGTGCAGTCGGTGGTGGTGTTACTTTACAGAAGGTATAAACAGACTTTGTGTTTTTCTTTATGTTAATTATACATCTTTTTTTAATCGTATGATATATTTTATCAATTACTAAATATTAATATCAAATATATAACAATATCAATTATTATATGATACAGTATCGATTATTAATAACGATATTTATGAAATTATATAACATTAATACAATCATATTTCTATATAAATAGAAATATGAACAATGGAAAGAAGGATTACCAGATTTGGAATGGATACAAAATTTGATGCCTAATGAAAAACAATGGCAAAATTTTCGAGAATCACTTATGACAGTTAAGAATAGTGTAGGCAATAAAGTTGAGATTGGTAAGCATGACAAACGTGTAATCATTTGTATCTGTGAAAACGTGAGGCAAAGCAAAACGCGCACTACGTGATAAAATATTGTCAAACACAAATAGATCCACGTATAAAGGAGTTTGGACTAGCTAAATATCGAGAATACAGGACGTGGTTTGATCAAAGACTGGATGATGCTATTAAGGCAGCAGAAAGTCGCCAAAAAGACTACCAAGAGAATAACTCGATACAGAGTGAGTGATTGGCGCACAAAGCTTTTTTTATATTTGTACATTATGTACATTATTTCTAATTTTGTCGGATAATTTTAATCTCATTGTATGTCCCATGTGATCCATTCCTCAATTATCACATACTCCATACTCCTTCATTTGCCTGACGTTTTCCTATCTGAACAACAATCATTATTGCAAAATATGGGTTAATGATGATGAATGATTGTTATTATAATTCCTTTTATTGCTCCAATTTCTTTATGCAATCTCTATTTAAATTTATTGTCTATATACAAAAATTTGCATGACAAAACATTTTTATTTATATTACTTTTGAATATTGATTAAAAGTAATTTATATATTTTTAAAAAAATGTTTCTATTTTTTTAACACGTGTGTGCACATATTATATAAATTTAGTAATATAATTTATTGTACATCAAAGCATTGTTTCACATGCATTTGTATTATAGATTTATTGTGGTCTGTTCTGTTCAGGTGCATTTGATACCATCTCATTGGTAGCTAAACAAACTTATTCAGGTGTGTAAAGAAAATTTGAAATTACTATTGCATACATATATTCTGTCCATTCAGCATTTTGTAATCAAATGATTCATAGAGGAAGATTTGAATGTATATTTTCTAAATGCAAAAGCCACAAATAAAAGCTATGCATATATATAAATATAATTGCAACATATATATATGTAATACCAATGAATATCCATTATAACTTTTAAATACTGAATGGGACAGCCATTATTTATCGCTTTCGTTGTTTTATTTGCACGCTTATATATAATTTTATATACATATATAATTTTTTTATATATGTGTATATATGTACTTGTGTTGCACATTTGTTTTTATTTTTTTTTTTTAATGTAATTTTATCATATGTAAAATTGCTTACGCACATAATAACTTCATTAATTTTTTATATTGATTGATACTAGCTTTCTTGCACATTTAAGCGCGCGGAATAAAGTAGAAATTGTTATAATTTATAAATATACAGTATCTTTATTTATTTTTAAGCAGAAACAAAAGATCAGTTATCCAAAAATGTGATTGCCTTTGCTCGCCCATTGGCTAATGATAGTACTGAGGAAGAACGTAAGAAAGCTCGTATGTACACATCATAGATAAAAAATTCGTTTAGTCTTAAAACCTGGTTTAGCATCCTCATAATTTTTTTTTCCGTTGAAGAATCGTCGCAACAGAGAATGAATGCTATGCAAGACGAGTTGATGCAGATGCAATTGAAATATCAACGTGAAATAGAGAGACTAGAAAGGGAGAACAAAGAATTACGCAAACAGATACTTTTACGAGGAAATCAGAAGTTTACCAATAAAAAGATAAAAGTAAGTAAATCACATATATATGTTTAATATGTACAGTCGTATTTATCTCATTTTGATTGCATTTCTAAAATTATTTTTATCTTTGTAGAAATCATTAATCGATATGTATAGCGATGTCTTGGATGAACTTAGCGACTATGATAGTACTTATTCCACTGCTGATCATTTACCTAGAGTAGTAGTCGTTGGTGACCAAAGCTCCGGTAAAACATCCGTGCTCGAAATGATAGCTCAAGCAAGGATATTCCCGAGGTACGCTTTTTTGTGTGATTCTGTATATCATGCAATCGCGAACAATATTGATAACCGTTGCTGTTTTATAGAGGTGGAGGTGAAATGATGACGAGAGCACCAGTCAAAGTCACATTGAGCGAAGGTCCCTATCATATAGCACAATTTAAGGACAGTTCCAGAGAATTCGATCTCACGAAAGAATCGGAATTAGCCGAGCTCAGACGAGAGGTGGAACTACGAATGAAAAATAGCGTTAAGAATGGAAAGACAGTTAGTCCAGATGTCATATCTATGACTGTCAAAGGACCAGGTCTTCAACGTATGGTTTTAGTCGATTTACCTGGTATTATTAGTGTATGTATATATAATAAATTTTATAAATATTTCTATATAAGAAAATTCCTGTAACATTGTTTATAAAATCTCGGATTTTGCTTTGAGACAGACAGTAACCGTCGATATGGCGGAAGACACTCGCGAGGCAATTAAACAGATGAGCCAGCAGTATATGAGTAATCCTAACGCGATTATTCTCTGCATACAAGACGGATCCGTCGACGCGGAAAGAAGTAACGTGACCGATCTTGTTGCTCAAATGGATCCATCGGGTAAAAGAACAATTTTCGTCTTGACAAAAGTACGGGGAATATTTTTCTAATTACATTAATTAAACTAAATAAATAGATGCAGACATGTGTAATTGTTGTTATCTTGTGGCAGGTTGACATGGCGGAAGAGAATTTGGCTAATCCCGATAGATTGCGCAAAATATTATCTGGCAAACTGTTTCCGATGAAAGCATTAGGCTATTTTGCTGTAGTTACTGGTCGAGGCAGACAAGACGATAGTATACAAACAATCAAAGATTATGAAGAACAGTTCTTTAGAAACTCTAAGCTCTTCAAGTAAGTCTAAAAACGAATATATTTAAAGAATTGATATGACATTAAATGCAGTTGTTAACGAGTTTTGAATCTTCAGAGATGGTTTAGTAATGTCGGGTCAAGTAACTACGAAAAATTTGAGTTTGGCGGTAGCCGAATGTTTCTGGAAGATGGTTCGTGAGACAGTGGAACAACAAGCAGATGCATTTAAAGCTACAAGATTTAACCTGGAAACAGAATGGAAAAATAATTTTCCGAGGTAAATATATAGAATGTTATATATGAAAGAGAAAATTTTGTATTCACACAATTGTAGTTTTATCAATTTATTTCACGATGTATTATCTACCTAGATTAAGGGAATTAGACAGAGACGAGCTTTTCGAAAAAGCACGAGGTGAAATCTTGGATGAAATTGTCAATTTGTCGCAAGTATCGCCGAGACATTGGGAGGAAGTACTAATGGCTCGAAATTGGGATAAAGTCAGTATGCACGTTTTTGAAAATATCTACTTGCCTGCTGCTCAAAGTGGAAATCCAAGTATAGTGTATATTGATAGACTATTCTCTCCTCTAAAAAGGCGGAAAGTTTTATAAAGATAACGTTTTCGTGTCACAGATACATTCAATACAACTGTCGACATCAAATTGAGACATTGGGCCGAACAGCAGCTACCTGCACGTAGCGTCGAAAGCGGATGGGAATGTCT